TTTTTTTTTTTAAAATTTTTTTTTTTTTTTTTTTTTTTTTTTTTTTTTTTTTTTTTTTTTTTTTCCTGGTTTAAATTTCAAATCATGAAATTTTTCGAATGTCGAACGAGAACAAAAAATGGATTTGAAAATGACGTAAAGTTTGATCGCCACAGTGAAAAATACATATAAATTTACAGCAGTATTGAAGAAATACTACAACGTAAAAGTATAGCCAGAATTTTATATATTAGTCGTGTTCACGTTTACTTAGGTGTCTATAAACATACCAATTAATGCGCATTTTATTTATTTGTTTATTTATTTTTTTTTTTTTCCCCTCAGATTCAAAGGACTTGCTTCAAGTTGGCATCAACTTCGACTTTATCTAACTTTGTAATCATAGGGTCCACAACTTCACTAGCTACGAGCTTGAATAGCTTGTAAATGAGATCTTTCAAATCATCACCAGTTTGTTTGAAATCAGGATACGAATTTACCTCTAACAAATACACGTTGTAGTTGTCATCCACCAAAAAGTCAACTCCAAAGATCTCCATTGCATTTTCCAAAGGTTGAAAGTTTAGCTTGTCCACAGTTGTAGCCGCAGTGAATAGTTCACTAGTTATCTCACTCACCTGGTCAAACACTTTGTCCTTGTCACATTGTGAGATGCCTTTCAATTTCCAAAATGGCACGACTAACGGATCCTCTTCTTCTTGTAGACAAGTGTTTGTCAAATGCCCACTCAAGTCAATCTCCCTTTCCAATTCAGTGGGAGCCTTGTAGGACGACCCAGCAAACAAGGTTAAAATATTCTTGTACACAAACACCTTCAAGTTACCTTGACAGACAACGTAAGTTCTCAAGTGAAACTTTTTATCGTCGTAAGCTGGAAGCAATAATGGATTCGCAATGTACTCTTGAATGATAAAGTGTCTCAAGTGTGATAAAATCAAGCCATTCCCTTGTTTCTTGTCTCCTTGGTTCTCCTCTTCGTCATCCTCATCATCGTCATTATCGAATGCATCAAAAATGGCTTGCAATTGGTCCACTGTCTTGAATATACTTATACCTTGCCCTTTATCGCTCATACTTGGTTTCACAATCCAAACCTTATCGCCTTCATTTATAGCGTCCCTCAATTCATAGGCATCGTCAAGTGAGTCATCCAAAAATTCGGCATAATCAAGTTCAAGCTGATAGTTTTCAGGCACAGCCCGTTTCAAAATTGAGTTGGGATATTTAGCCACATATTGGTGTACGGTGTTTGCTAGATAATGTTTTCGTATCAAAGCCTTGCGGTATATGTATGAAGGAATAAAGTAGTTCTTATCGTGGACCAAGTCAAGATCAATGTCTTCATACTCCCCATAATGGAAAACCGGCAGCCCCTTGGGTACCAGCTTAGGGTCTGATGTAACATTATAGCCAAGTGTCTTGAATGCCAGCACAAGAGGCTCATAGACATATACGTCCTCAGGAATTGTAATTAGCAACGTCTTTGTTACCGAAAGATCCTCCTTGTCAAGACTCACTTCCCCAGATAATGTCTGCAACTCCTGAAACGCAGCTTTCAAAGGCGTAACACTAATACCTTCTTTCAACAAAACTCTACTGTCTGTATGGTTATGATCAATTAGTCCATCCTTGTAAACACGCTTGAAATCTGGAGTCCAATCAAACTGGATCTGCCTTTTGTCGTTCAAAGTTTCTTGTGGGGTATATATGGATCCCCATTGGTTTTGCAATATAGGCGCATATTCAATTTTTGTCTGGCCAAGTTTGAGTGAATCAACCAAGGGGATATTTATTGAGAACAAGTCAATTTCCGGGTGATGAGTGAGCTCAGTGTACAATTTTTTGATCAACTTAACCGAGATTTTGGCAGCTTCCTTCAAGGTATTAAAGTCGTGATCCATGCTATTGAATGCATAGCTCAATGCAATGGCTCTAACACCATGGGTAACTGCCTCCATGGCAGCACCGACAGTTCCACTGGTGAGAATATAAAGGTTGCTCGAGTTTTTTCCAAAATTTGGGCCACTTATAACCAAGTCAATAGGCTTGTGCTTAGATTGTCTGTATAAGTGGTGAATACCTATATCCGCACATGCCGCTGGTGTGCTGTTGATGAGACACCACTCTTGATACTCCTCCTTGTTGTCGCTATACCTCTTAACTGGATGGTCAAATGGACCCTCATATTTATTTATATCTGGGTTTGGTTTCTCTGTGGAATACTTGGTGTATATATATGTCGAAACCAATGGCTTTCCAGCAAAGTGTGCTTTACCGATCCACGATCTCTGTTGATCAGGGATAACTATTGAAAGATCCCAATCAGTACTTTGTTTGATTTCGTCGACCAAGTATTTCATATATGGACAAGAGCCATCATTAATTGGTCCGTCATCATTTGTCAAAAGCACATGCATTGTGTTGAAAAGTGGTATTTGGTTGCTGTTGCTGTGGTTTTTAGCTAACCTCCTCTTTTATAATTCTTTTCCCTTTTTTTTTTTTTTTTTTTTTTATTTATTTTGAACGCAATTGCTTGGTGATGAAGAGGAAACAAGAAAAAAAAAAATTGGTGAAAAATAGTTGATTTCCCACCACTATAAGAGCATCTAAACCTGTCAAGTTGAGAGATTATGTCAGTCTTCCTCGGCTCAAC